ATCTGGGGGTAGCCAGCGAGGCGTGCAGTTTATTAAACGCCATATAATCGATGGTAAGTAATTTTGATGGCATACGGCTATTTTTTATATTTCATTTTTCTGTTCATTGATGACGTAAACCTCTGTTCAGAGGCAAGATAGCATCATGTCTGTTGCTCAATTTGCTCATTTTTGTCATTTCAGTAACCTTGTCTTTCATTTTGATTTATTCCTGTTTTCATCATTTCAACGTCATCTACAAATCATCCTTTCTTCACAAAATGATACCGCGGTGATTCCAGTTTCTTTCTGTGTTTTAATGAAAGTATTTTCTCAAGGATATAATTGTCTTAAATGCATGATGAATTCTGTCAACCTCTGTAACCGCTTGTTCATTCATATGACAAACGTAATCGTAACGTAATATGAATGCTGAAATCATGTACAGGTATGAGGAGTATTATTTTTCTGGATTTCCCATGTCATAAACATTAAAATTATGTGAAGGATGTAGTTTTTCTCTATTTTTCCTGATATTCCACATCAAGCGTTGATGTTCTGCGTTTCTTGCACATGTGTTTTAATGTTCTTTTAGTACAGACGATGACTTCCTCGCCTTCCATCTGGGTTCATAGTAGGGAATTCTATTTCATAGACGCCATCGCTTTAAAGGCGTAAAGACATGTGCAAATCCCTGATTACCATTGTTGTGCTAGGGATCATGACAGGTATTCATGGCTAGGAAAGTATCCATCGTGATTCTGCGATTTCTTGATCTACTCGTTGTCCACTGTCTGTGACGAGGGATGCCATGGCTTAAATTTATGGTGAGTTTCTTCCTCTACTTCGCTTGCTTCTACAGTCTCAAAGCTAATGGTAGGCCTGCACGGTTATCACAATGACTGGATGGAATACACTCTGCCGTATTCTGTTTTCCTGTTATGCGACATCTTATTTTTCTTCTTTTTCTCAGTGTGGGCAACGACTAGAACGTGAAAGAGTTCTGTTAGTTCTACCGCTCAGTTGACCCAGTGTCAGAAGTACGTAACATACGCTTGTTGATTTGTTGGCCATTGCGGTGTACACTCAGACATCGCTATACTACCGTGTGCATATCTATATTTGTTCTGTGCCAACTTTCACGGTACGTTTACAGCTTTTTATTTGGTGGTACAGTATTCATCCGTCATAACACTTCACTATTCTTTTGCTCGTGCCTTTCTCTGCCGTGGTGGTCCTTATAAGCCAGAAATCAGACGGCCTCAAATAATTTAAACGGTCAGTAGCACCCGCTCTTTAACGTCTGTTGACCTCTGATGACGATGACAAAACAACGAACTAGAAGTAAAACCGTCCCATGTTTTCTGAGGACGACAACTTGACTTTTTGCTATCTCGCAAATGCCGCTTGACGGGCAGCTGTCCTTCGGTTACAGCATCCCTGTCATTCGTGATTACTTATTATTTATTTACTTTAATATGTCTTTATTATTGTTTTATCCTGTTGCTCTTATGTACTTTATATTTTCTGTTGAAAGGAATATTCTTTGAAGCTTTTGCTCGAGTTCAGGTAATGCAGGGTAACTCGGGTGAAGTTTTTAGAGCGATAAACTTCTAGTCGGAAGAATCGTAGCCGGGCCATTTGTATTTCATCTTTCCAAGGTAAATAAGTTAGTATCAAAATGGTAAGAAGCAGGATACTGTAGAGACTGCAGCGTCTGCTTTGCAGACAAATGGCTTAGAAAGGCAGAACTGTACCGTACCACCATAGAAAGTGTTACCGTCCGGGACGAAAGTTTACAGCAGACCGACATCGACACTGTTACAGACTTTTCTTCTGTTTTGTTTGAATATAAGTTTTTTACTTTTTCCTGATATCCTTGAAAAGTAAGTGATCAGTGCTTATGATAGAACTAGAAGCAGTAAACTTGGCCAATCCACTTCATCTTGTTCTGTTTTATGTCCGTTTAAGGGCCAGTAAGCTACTACAGTATAACTGAAGAATCGCGGGGTCACCTTAGAGCTTGATCTATAAAGCCCAACGGACGAACTGCTGAACAACACGAAAATCTCAAAGTGCTTAAAGGCTGCCTCAGAACCAAACACTTAGGAAGTCTAGGTTTAGACTTGTGCCAGGTGTCTCTAAATAAAATGCAGAGGCTTCTTTCTTCTGTTCCTTAATCTATGCAGCTTTCGATTCAGCTTTTTGTTACCTTAGTTCCGGGAACCAAAACTTGCAATTTTAGATCCATTTCAACTTTTTCATACAAACATATTAAGTAATTAATCTATTAATCTCCATTTGACATGTTTATCTCTCAACAGATCAAGTTGGTAGCTAACCTTTGCTGCATGGTGTATTTACCATCTTTCTTCTCGATTACTAAAACCGATTTTGAAACGGAATTTGTTGTCACGTTTACCTACCTCCAAACCTTTTGAAACAACCATTTTCTTAGTTTCGTTAAATAGTCTCTGAAGTCGCGCCTTTGATACCGTTGCTTTCGTTTTGTCAAATTTCGGCAACTATTTAGCGGCTGAATTGAACTTAGCATTTCTGACCATCGTTAATTATTAATATATAGTAGGTTTAATATTTAGCATATTCAGTGACGTCCGTCATACTACTGATAACTGATTGTGTCACCGATTTAAGCGTCGTCTCCTTTTGAACGGAGAAAATGTTAGATCTGATCTGTCACTTGGTCGTTACACGCAGTGCATTATATGCACCAGCTATTTTTTACTACCATGCAAAGATAAGTGCGGTAGACTTTGGTGCTCTCTGCCAAAATGAGGTACAGAGTTTTACGGTGCGTAATCGATATCATTATGCCACCTTTTAAACTGATGAACAGGCTCTTCATTAGCATAAATACAATAGCAGCGGTGGAATAAAAAATGAAGCGCAGTGACACAGTGGCAAGGTGATCAGCTGCAAATTCTGGAGCTGC